AGTCTACAGGGAATGTTGGCTGTCATGGCCACTATTACTGATAGCTGGCTCTGTATTCCAGATTTATTGTTTGAATTTGAATCCCATGTGATGGGATTTGAATCTATTTCCTGTACGATTAGCCTGGGTCAATTTGTTCTGAAGAATCATCGCTGGACTCAAAACTTTAACTCTTTCTCTCTCCAGATAACGAGTTTTTCCAGCACTTTCTGTTTTTATATCAGATCTTTAGCATCTGCTGTATTTTGCTTTTAACCTGGGTCTCTGGATTACTAGTCGAGTGAGATTACAACTATGCCATCTCCCCTTGCTGGTCTTTATGTTCCATGTGAGCTGCCTCCTACTCTGTTTCATCTAATCATGGCGTCGATGTGCTCGCTTTATTGTAACATCCAGGACAGAGGTCAATGAAACAAACTACTGCCACACGAATGAAAGGGCAAGTGCACAATCACTGCTTCATTTAAGCAGCCATCACTCTGACTCAGCGGTAACACTCTCACCTCAGGGTCAGAAGCTTCTGGGATCAATCTTGAACTGAGACCCGAGTGCACCCTAACACTCCAGTGCAGTACTGAGGGAGTACTATATGGTTGGAGGTGCAATCTACTAGAAGAAGTATCAAAAAGAAAAGGCCCCATCTGTCCTCGCAGGTGAATGTAGAACACACATGGCACTGTATAGAAGTTGGCATGCAGCTCTTGGCAGCATGGTCAATATTTATCCCTTGCTGAACATCACTCAGAATATCTCATGACTGTCTGTGGGATCTTGCTGTGTGTAAATAGATTGCTGTTCTGCTCCGCATTATGATAACGGAATAGAATTCAGCAGTACTTTGCTGTCTGTGAATTGCCTTAGGACACCCTGAGATTGCGACAGGGGTAACTGCATCTTTATTCCATATGGTTTCAACCAATTACAGATGAAGGGAGAGGGAACCGTATCAGAGGAATGTTGCCCGAAGGGCCACCACATTACGTTCAGCTCCAGTGCAAATACATAACACGGCCTCGGCAAAATCAATCGAATCATTTCACTGTCTGGAACAGTACATTTAGGTTTCGTTGTCGAGCACATAGTTTAGCCGGCCTCATATGTGAGGACTCTCATCAGTTTTCTTTAAGCTAAATGCCAAAGGAGGGGCCTATCTGAAACAGAATTTTCGGCATAAGAGGATGAATTACATGTTTTGTTTTGCACATTAGACAGGGATAAGAAAGGTTATTACGATGAATCCTCAGCTCGGACTTATTCAGGAAAAGCACGCAAAACTAAAGAAAAAATTCTAGATGTACAATTCAAAACACAAAGAACATCTTTTGAGGGAATGTCAAACAGTGCAAAATGCACTCCCACTTAATTCACCCCAAGTTGTTCTTCATTTTTCCCAGGATTGTTCTTCCTTAAAATAACAGGAAATGTTCAGACTCGTCCTGGTTCACTCAGTAACAGCTAACGTATCACGGACAAATACCTGCTGCAAGTACGCTGTGCAATAGTTGCTTCCATGCGAAGCCACATCTCTGATCAAATTCTTTGTACCATTTTTGAGAAGTTTCTCCTCGATGGAGTTGCCGATAACCAGTCTGCAGTGGAGATGTAGACAAGGAAGGTGGGTTAGAGACTCCAAAATGAAAATTTACAAAGCACCTGGTCACAAGTTTAAACTTGTCTTCAAAAAATTTGAAGGCAGGTAATTCAAATAAAAAGATAATCACCCATAGGATGTGGGCACTGCTGACAAGGCTGGATTAATCGTGCATCTCAAGTTGCCCTGAGCTTGACACACTGTAGTTGGGCTGGTTCACTACAGGGCGTCATCCATCTAGTGTGGGACTTGAATCCTACACAGATTACACTGGGTCCTGGAAGAACCAAGTTCCTGAAGGGCAGAACTGAACATGAGAAGAATTTCTCCCAATCTACAAATAACAAATTAAACTAAATTGTAAACTGCCTGTACTATTCCAACTGTGGACCATAATGCTGACTTTATATACTGTACGTTGACCACCATTAATTTGACTTGTACATTACACTTCTGGTCATAAAACTCAATATTTCAAAATCTTTTTTAAGATGTCTTCTCAAACTCCCTCCGTGACAGCATTGTGGGTCTACCTACAGCACATGGACCACAGCAGTTTAAGAAAATAGCACCAGCACCTTCTCAAGGGAAACTAGGAACAGGCAATAAATACTGGTGGCCCAGCCAGTGATACCCATGTCTCATGAGTGAAAAAGGAGCTCAGAAAAAAAGCCAATAAGTTATTTAGATTTTGCATTGTTGATCATATCCAGAATATGAACAGACACATGACATGACATGGCTCTTTGGTACTCTTTCGTACATGAGAAACGCGACCTTCTTCTAACAGTGGTAAACTCCTGGGATACTTGTACAACCCACTCCTCAGAGTCAGTTAATCACAAGGAAGCTATCACAGAGAAAAATAGCATACAGCAATTAAAAAGACATGGAAGTCAACACAGACACAAATCTGACTGTCTGGTAGGTCTCTTAAAACCTCATGCTTTGACCAGGTTTTTGGAATGCAGGCTGATGACACTTTAATAATATTCCTGCAAAATACCTCAGGATGTCTTACTATACTAAACAGGCTGTACAAATCCAAGTTGCTGGCAGCTTCTGGGCAATTTAGAAAACAATTGCTCTGATCAATCTAGTACAAGCTCCAAAAATAATGAATGCAGTCATGCAAAGTACATTGTGTGACTCCATATCCATATCCATCTCAGCTGGTCCCTGAAATGGCCAAAGAAACCACTCAGTTCAAGGGCAATTCGGGGTTGGCGACAAATGCTGACCTTGCCAGTGATACCCACATAAAATAAAGGAAAAATTCACAATACTGAAGAAGTAATTTTTCATACAATACCTGTAGATATGAATATCTTTACATTTTCCAATTCTATCACACCATTCCTGGACTTGTGAATCCAGGGTTGGGTTCAAGTCACTGTCATAGACAATAACAGTGTCAGCATCAACCAGGTTAACACCCGTAGCACCTCCACGGGTAGAAAGGATGGCACAAAAGATGCGCTTATCTGTATTAAAAAGTTTCATCAGCACCTGGAAACAGAAAGTTCACAAAGATTAGACAACACCTCTCTCCTTCACAAAGACACAGACAGACTGACTCAGGTTAAAAAAGAGAACCAGAGTTTGTAATTTGGTGCTGTCATCTTACAAATTTCTATATTTTCAAATGAATAGATAGAAAACCAAGGACTGCACGCCTGAGCAAGTCCTACAAAAGTAAAGCTGTTATCATTGAGGTTCCTGGAGTTGTACTCTCTGCAGGGGACAACTGACCTTAAACCTGTTTATACCTTTCACTTTAAAGTGACTGTACATTTCCAAAAAATGTATTTGTTCTTGGGAAGCAGTGACAATGCCTCACGTACAATGTACCAATGCATCATTTACTGCCCAATCCCCAAATGCAAAGGTAATAAGGGTCAGCTGCATTGTCTGGGACTGAAGTAATGTATTGAACAGCTAAGTAGGGAGAGGTAAGTTTAACCCTCTATACTCAAAGGTCAATGAACGAGTTGGTCTTTTCTTTAAAAAAAGTGCAACAAACCAACAGTTTCAATGGAAATTTTATCTCGTGGTAGCCAACTAATGATCAACTTCACAGAAATCAAATTGTCATGATGAAATTTGATTATGCAATCTCTGAGTGGGCAGTTCTATGCCACAATCACTACACTATTACACCGTCGTAATATTTGCTGATTTCTGTCATTACTTACACTGCTAAAAGGAGTGAGGGGCTTCTGGAATAAACTGTTGTCAGCCTGTTCTAAAGGCCCCAGAGAATATCACATTAATTCCCACCGGGGAGGGAAAAAGGCTTTTTATCTACCCCCAGGACAATGACAGTACACAATACAGCTTTTACTGTGCCTGCAGTAAGGATGGGGGAGTCTGCATCAGCTACATAAGAGAAAAATAATGCAACACAAGCCATTAAACCTGAAATACTGGAGTCAGTATTAGAAACTAAAATTGGAATTTCAAGGAATTACACAAACACACTTTATACACAAACATACTTAATCTACGAAGTAGTACTTATTAAAACAATGTACCTGTCGTTGATTAAGATGAACATTACTATCAATTCTCACAAAAGCAAAACTGTGGTAATCCAGGAAACTCTCCAGAATGTCCAGCATTTGAACCATTTGTGTGAATATCAACACTCGGCGTCTTTCTGATTTCAGTTTATGAAGCAGAACAGCCAGTGCTTCCAATTTCCCTAAGTAAAGATTAATCACATCGATAGCTTAACCAGGCAATTGTTCTCACTGCAATCTGATGACTGCCTCCCTCAGCTAAATCAAAGAAACAGAACAGAAAGTTGGGGGATATTTTAAAATCTTCCCGACTCAGCCAAAACTGGGCATGAGGTAGACACAAACGAGCGAGAGACTTGTCCACAGGCCTCCCGTCACTGGGACCCTGCTGCCACTATGACGTTGGTCCGAGTGGGAATTTAAGTGGGGATTTCCCCGTCAACCAAGTGCAGTCCTGATCGTCAGGACAAGTCAACCTTTAGATAAGTTCAGAGGAATAGTAGTATCCATCTAGACCTGACAGCAGGCCCTCCTTGCTCCTGAAAATTACTGTGTCTAAAAGTGGGGACCATTTCTCAGAACCCTGCATGAACCCATCCTGCCCCTACTGTGCCTCTAGATACTGCCTCCTAACAGCCAAGATTTCTGAGCTCCTCTAGTTTAATTGCTCCACAATTAACAACCACAAATTGAGTTTCTTGGGCCCCTAGTAAGATCTAAAATTCTCTCTCAAATTCTCTGTCCACCAGTTGCCTCTCTCACTATGTAAAGCCTTTTTTGACAAAGTTTTTAATCCTCTGTCCTAAACACATCTTACGTGACAAAAATCTTTTTAGTGATAAAGATCCCGTGACGTACCATGATGTTTTGCTATGTGAAGGTATATAGACAGAAGTTATAATTGGATATTGACCAGCAGGAGGTCAATGAGTGAAAGCCATTAAAAACTGATTGAGTTTCCCACAGCTGCTGGCTCACCTAATCTGCTGCCAAGGATTTAAGACCAGCCAAGTCGTCCACACCCTGAAATTTGGCTTTTCACCCAATTCTGTCAATAAGTTGGACATTTAATACAAAACAAAAAAGAAGTGGGAATACGTGCAGAACAGCAGAAAACAATAGCTCTATCTGAAGCTCATTATTAAAGTTTTGTTAGAGACAAGTACCCTTAATTTACTAACCTGAGTCAAACTGTACAAGTCTCGGGTCAGTTAACAGTAACTTTGTCGCAGAAGTAACCTGCAGCAATTGTTGGGTATATGGAGCCAGTTCCTGTTTAAGGTTAGATTTGAATAGCCTCATGCGATGCGTGTAAGAAGGTGGAGGGTTAAACGTGTACAGAATTGGCGGAGGTGCCACTACATTTGGAACAACACAGTGAACCCTGTGGAAAAGGCACAATATTTCTTAGCACAAGTTTCCAACCTAAATGGAAATATAAAGTAAATCGCATCATTGCACCATATTTGAAATAGAAACATTCTGAAAAGGTTTTGAAAGAAAACATGACTTTGCAAAATGACAAAACAATGGGCTACATTTTCAAAGGCTCACAGGAGGCCTGTAGGGACACAATTTGAAAATCACAGTTCTGAAAGAGGTCATCTCATGATCTCAATACCTCCAAGGTAGTTTCAAACTTACAAAGAACCAGTCAAGGGCAAAGAGAATAATGAAAAGGAAACCTACTGCTTCCCATTTGCCAGGCCATTAAAAAACATGCAGTCAGCTACATTATTTTTAATTTTTCTTTTAATGGATGCAAAGATCTGGTGCATGCATCTTTCACAGCTACTTTCAAGTTACTTTTAGCTGCAAAATCCAACACTACCAGTGGTCCCCTATGAATATATGACTTCAGGACCATACTTACTCAGACAACATAATTCAATAACAGCATATGGGCAGGACTTCAAACCACTCAACAGCTGCCTTCCTCTGATTCTGAAACCAATACTCATGCTTTGCATCAGCCTGAAACTCAATTATGTTTAAACTCTGCCATAATTTTCTGCTCTGTCATCCTCACTGCTCATCTGTTATTGAATTCTACCGCTGATCACTGAGAAAGTGCTGCATAAATTTCTTATTTTTCTCGCCACACACTAAACTGTGCTATGTGGTTTGCAAAGTCCTTAACCTGTAAAAATATTTCCTGAACCCAAATTTCCCCAGAGCACTCCCATCCACCATTAGGACATACAAGACCGTGCCATTTGAGACAGAAGGGTGTGGTTCATGCTTTCTTCAAGACTTGGATATATAATGCATGTTGAAACTCCACTCAGTCCTAGGTTGGGGTACATTGTTAGAGGTGCCATCTTTCAGACGAAACTGTAAACAAAGTTGGCCTGCTGAAGTGATTTTAAAGGTACGATGACAGCACTTGAAGAGGAACATGGAGTTCCTAGTGTCTGAAGCAACATTGCTCCATCACACAAATCAGGCTTATTGATCATTTACCTCATTGTTTCTTGATGCAAGAGGAAGAGAATCTTACATCATGCAACCCGCTGCTGCATTTGCCCATGTGGCAACAGTCATATTGCTTTAAAATGTCAATGACTGTAAAGCTCGATGAAAGATGCTGAAAATGAATAATATCCTATTCTTTTCTCACTTTTCTTGGTTAATATATCTCACTAACCATATTTCTTAGCCATCAATCTAAATGCGGACATCCTAAAATAGTTGCACATCTTGTCTTTAATACAGAGACTTAACACTGGGAACAGTGCAACAGATGCACCTCAACAACTTCTAATACCATCCCCTTAATTCACTGCCATTTCCCATGCACCGTCTCTGCCTTCAGCTTTGGTTCCATATTTTTTGCTTGCTTCCTTCACCTGTAATGCATGATGAAATTATCTATTTGGGGGCAAAAAGGTGAGATCAAGGCTATTTCAATATTAGGCTATGGTTAAGTTCATAGCAGAATCAAAAAGCTGCTTTGGGTTCTGCACATTAATATATAAAAAACACCATCTTGGGCCACCTGACTAATTTGGCAACTCATGATATCAATGGCTAATACACTGGAAGATGTTCATCAAGACATTTGGCTGTGATATAGAGATGCTCTGTAAAGCTAACTACAAACAGCTTACTATACAACAATACTGTTCACCTTTTAACGATGTCTTGCATACTATCTTGCCTCTGATCCGTGGATAAGATTGCTTGTGACAAAGATTCTGTCCTTTTCCAAGATATCTCAGCAAAGGAGTCACTCACTGACTGCTGAATGTTGCAGCAGTTCACGTAACCAGAGAAAAGCCAGGAGTTCTCAGCTGATTTAGGCTTTGTAAGTTTATATTCGCCAATCAAGAAGCAAACTCCCAACAGTTCTGTACCATAGACAGGCATCACAGAACATCGTTTCTCATTTATCAAGAAAATTCGGTCCAACCGTTCCTTTATGAATTTTTTCTTTTCTTCTATAGAATCCTAGAAATCATAAACAAGATTCTCAAGTGTGACAGAGAAAAACACTGAACAAGTTGTCTGTAGTGTCAGCAGGGTAACTCTAAAAGTATTAAGATTAGAGTTGCATGTTAATAGCATAATAACCTATGCCCTTCTCTTCTGAAGCCATATACTGGCCCCCACTGGCAGTGGAGTGAAATACAATCTGACAAGTTTAAATAGGTACTTTCTATTAAAATTACAGACATAGGAATTTATAATCAGACAAATTTTAGAATTTATTAGAAAAATTGAAAGGAAGCGGGCACAGGTTTTTTTTAAGTTAATAAAGATGGACAAATTTAGCCCTCTTTTATGCTCTTCGTTCATAACTTTTCAAGGTCTGATTAATTTAAAAATATTGAACTTGCAAGTTTAACATAAATACTCAAACCTGTTTAAAAATGTGATTACCTGTGTAGCAGATCCTAGAGAAGATATTGGCCTTAGGATTGCTCCCTGCTCACCAGATGCTGAACTGCTAACTGTTCTGGTCGTGAGGAAAGATGCTAAAACAACAGACAAAGTTATAAGCTGTGGCAACTATAAATTCATGAACAAAGCATATTATTTACAGTCTCTGAGTCACTCACCTTGTGTTGAAACAGAAGTGGAAACAGAACTAGGTACTATTCCTTGCTGGTTTCCAGTTGCTGCAGATGCATTTTGGACTGCATTGCTCTGGGATTGTGCTTGCATCAAAGCCTGACTTTGTTGACGCATAATCTGCTGCCCCGGTGCTGATACTATTTGTAGGACATTACCTGTATTTTTTTTTTAAATTAAAATAAGTAATTAAATGATTCTTCTCACACAATACAAAACTTATTACAACCAGAATTCCTTCGTAGGATCGCACTGTTAGCCACTAACAGTCGCCATTAATAGCTATTAATTTTCCTAGCTTGATCGTTATCCACTCCTTTATCTATCCAACTGTTCTCTCTCTTTGGGCTCTAGCTCCACCAATTGTTTAATCCTTAGCCCCTCCTCCAACCCTGTCTTCTGCATAAAAACCCACTTTTTCCTAGCTACCATCCATTCTGAGGAAGTGCCACTGGACCCGATACTTCAACTCTGATTTCTCTCCACAGATGCTGTCAGACCTGCTGAGCTTTTCCAGCAATTTCTGTTCCTTTGTAGGAAGTTCCCCATCTCCATTTCTTTTTCAAGGTAGAGTCAAGATTTTCTTCCTTTCTTTAACTGCACACGGAGATCCCTGACTTTTATCGACTTCAGACTCTTGGCAGTAAGTACATTGTGCAGCATCTGCTGTGAACAGCTTCAACTGTCTGAGGTAGTGCCCTCAGAGAAAGGTCTCCCACTATACCAGTAAGGCATGTGATATATTTGGATTTTCCCAGCATCTGGATTCTTTGTTTTCAAATCATAGATCAATCAAAGTCAAGTCCGAATCCTTATTTTGTAATGTGTTTCTTCAACTACTGTACTATTTGATAAATGCTTGTTAACATGTCCAAATAACAAGTAGAAAAAAAATCAGACAGAATAATTTCAGCAATCACAAAATAATCTATGTCTCCACAGGATCACCCTAGTCCCCAAAAAGTAATACAACATTATGTCAATTTCAGATCTTATTCCAAGTTTTAAACTAATAAAAAATCATTCAACAAACAAAAAGACACAAGTAATAAATTTTCAGTAGAAAATGGGAGTTTTGTTCTCTACAAAACAGAAGGCTGAGGGGTGACCTGATAAAGTTTAAATGATATGAAAGCTGTTGAGGGAATAGAAAAAGTTGTGCTCCCACCTGCATGCAAGAACAGATGGGGTGTCACAAACTAAGACATCACTCATAAATCTATTCCAGAATTCACGAAAAGTGCTTTTATCCAGACAATGGTGAAAGACGTGAAACCAACTACCACAGAAAGTATTGATGGAACAGTACAGACGCATTCAAAGGGAAGCTGGATAAACTTAAGAGAATAAGGAAAGAAGATTATCATTGTTAGGATTAGATGAAGAGACTGGGATGAGGGTCATGTGGGCCATAATCACCAGCATGGATCTGCCATATCAAATGGCTATTTCTGAGCTGCAAATATATTGTGTAAATTCAAAGGTTCTGATATGGATGCTAAATAGTTCTTTTAAATATAAAATTACAAGCAAAAACTGCATCTACAGAATTACAGCAGCCTCACTACATTTTTTTGTGAAGCATTCATTCCTGTTCAACTCAACATCAATCAACCAAACTGTTCACTTTCTTAGCTTTTGAACACATGTTGAGGTTTCTTAGTCAGATTGGAGATTCAGCCACCTTCAACAAAGACTGATCATCATTCAAACATTAATGACAAAGAGTCTTAAGTATTTGCTGGTCTCTCCCTCTCTCATTCAAGGTTGGGACAGCGCAGATGGTTTCTAAACTTGAATTCCTGAATTAAAAAAGGTAATGACCAGAATGAAACATGACAGAACTGCTTTGTTTAGTGTTGATTGAGATAACCAGAGGTGGGTGTCTTAATTCCTTAAAAGTGAGAAATACCACCTTGTCTAAAGGCTGACTGAGAAGGCTTGACGTGGGGAATTCTGCTGGAGGATAGTAATTAAGAAATATTTCAATGTTTGGGTATAATGTATCAGCAAAACAGAATGGATAGAAAAGAAGAAAACATCTATAAGAAGATAAGGCAGCTAAAAGTGGTGCTTTATATAAAACTCAATAGGAAAAGAATAGGCTGCTGGTTTTGCTTCCAAGAGAGTTTTTCTTTCCAATTGAATATCTAATGTAGACGAAGTGCTGATTCCTCCCTTTCACAAGAATCTCTGATTATTTCCCTCTCAAAGAGTCACCAATAAATACAGGGTAACTGCAGTTTTCAGTACCTTGGTGTAAGTGACGAAAGGCCTATGGATTCTTGGCTTGATGCCTTGGGAAAAACAGTAATTTGGATATGTGACTGGACTAGAAAACCAGGGACCTGAAGCCATGGGCTGTATTCCCACCACAGCAGCTGGGGAATTTAAATTCAATTAATTAAATAAATCTGAACTAAACAGCTAGTAGTAGTAAAGGGTGTATCTACTGGACTGTGATAGAAACCCATCCTATATACATTCTGCTTTAGGGAAGGAAATCATCCATTCTTACCTGGTCTGTCCTTTGTGACTTCAGGGCCAGAGCAACATCGTTAACTCTAGACTACCTTTAGAAATGGCTGAACAAGCCAATACAACCTTCTAAAGGACAATTGGGGATGGGCAACAAATGCTGCTGGCCTATTAGTGATGCTCATACTCCACGAAATGATATGGTAGAGGACAGGAACTACTATATTGACTTGACTTCAATTTTGGAATGGGCAATGAGTTACAGTATCTGTATCTGACAAAATGTTGCCTGCAAAACAAACGAGTTTTAACACTGTATTAGCAGCTGGATGGAGTTCTCTGCCTCTTGCATTTGGAAAATAATCTCCAGGAGCAATCACTTTATATCTATACTGTTAATCAAATGATATCCCCTGATATTACTCATGGCATGTCAGGAGTGGGGATCCATTATTACTTGGTATTCGTGACTGCAACTACAGTGTTGTGAAGAGTTGTCTGCATGGAGATTCCAATTTTGTACACATTGTCAAATATAAATGCTGCCGTAAGAAACGTGACCAAAACAACAACAGGAAATGACATTTAGGGGCAAGAAATGCGTGTGTGTAGACAAGACAAATATATTTTAAATGATACGCCATATACATGGTCACTACTTGCTGCTGAATATACCTTGTAACTGGAGATGCTGGCCTGCAGTGAGCTGCCGCAATTGACTGCTAGACAAGGTAAACTTGTTCCCTTGGAAGTGCAGCGTCACGGGCTGACTAGTCTGGGTGCCTCGTCCTTGCCCACCAGCTATGGAGGCAAGCTGGGCGATGCTAACGACTTCTCCACCTGCAAGGGAAGGACAATGTGCAATGCAATTACAAACAAAACGTCAGCTGCACTGTGCTTTGGTAGTTAGTATATCTGCACCCAAGCTCTACTCATGCAAGGTCAACTACAGTGCGCAAACAAGGTGTCAGAGAAGTTTTATGCAGGAAAAGCAAAGTGAGATCAAGTTTTTATAAAGTTGGCCAAGCAATTAGTTATCAAGCTCCTCAGGGAATATACGTTAAGAGATGTCTAATAAGATTGATTTATATATCTACACTGATGTTCAAAATAGAGTTTTCTGGCAAGGCTTAATGAAGGCAAGAATTAAAGTGTTCTCCGCTTAACACTGTCCATTTTTCTATATTAATTCACAGGACAGAGACATCACCGGCAAGGCCACATTTATTGCCCATCCCTAACTGCCTTCAACATGCCACCTTAAATACAAATGAGTGGTGCTCTAGGGCACATCATGGGATAGTTAAGAGTGCTGAGAATTGGAAATCACTTTTCAGGTCAGATGAGGTAAGCACAGAAGGTGTCCTTCCCCAAAGGATATTAGCAAACCATTTTTTAAAAAATGAAACGCCAACACTATTGTGGATATTAGCTTTTTGTTCCAGATTTATTTAATCAGTTAGATTTTCCAGCTGCTGTGATGGGATTAGAACTAACTTCAGAATATTAGTCAATACTTCTGAATGATTAGTTCAATTACATAACCACCTTACTGGCATGCTCCTTTCTAGCATTAGAAAACTGTTAGAATGTTGTTTGATCAAGCGTAAGTTTGGTTGACACAGTTAAAGATAGAATTGGATCATACAAAAGTAAAGCTGTTATTTCTCTAATGTGATTTCTTTATTCTTTTCTTCCACTGTTTTACCCCACAGCCAATTTTAGATAAACCTTGATGGAACGTATTTTTTTTCCTACAATTTGTAAACAAACTTTCTGGCCATTTTATTTTGTTAATTATTTTAACTTGGGAAGCATCACTTACGGCTTCCGATCTAGCCAAAAAATGAAACAAATTCCCTTTAGGACAGGCACTTACAGGCTATGAAATGCTGATGGGAGATGACAAAGCTTTTCAAAAGCAACACCTACATCCAACACTATCAGACAGTGGCATCAGATCTGTTATAATTAGTTGCCTGTAAAACCTTAAATGACACCCTGTTATTATCTGCATTATGAAAGTAAGGTGCATTTTTACACTGCCTTTCCAAGAGCAATGTCAAAACAAGAAAAGCAAAAGAGGACAGCAGAGTCTCAGCTAAAGCTCATTAAACTCCTGCAGTCTGTTATAATTGCAATCATCCCTTGAAATATTAGACAAATCAATTTACCTCACAGACCTCTCTCACATACCATGTCAGCTAACTTTACTAAATTTAGGATGAAAACAATAGCTAACGTCAATAGGTAATGATATAAACTGAACTTTGGCAGCTATTGCTAAATGCTGCAAATATCGCAAATAAAAATCCAGCATTTTATGCACAACAAATAAGCAGTATTAGTGCAGTCATTTGGGTGGGTTTCTAAACTTGTATATAGTTTTTAAAAGTGGAAAGGAAATCTTTCTTTCCCAGCTTCACTTAAGAGCAGCAGGGAAAAGCAGTTTGATTTAACAAATTAGTATGACTGATAGGGAGGTTCAGATAAGAGGCTGGAATTAATTTCCTTTATCCTCAACTCATAGTTAATAAAACCATCTTGTAGTACAACCTCTAAAAAATTAGATATAGGTTTCAATTGTGGGTTTGTGCGCATGCAGAGATAAGATTAACTACGATAAAAGTTAAGTGAAGTGATGTGATATACACTTTCCAGCAATACTGCACTGAATTTGATGCAATTTAAGTAAGGAAAACCAAATGACCTGAACCACAATCCTCAAAAAATGTTTGAACTGCCTAGAAAATGTAAACTAGAAACAGATTATCTCATACTAGCCATCCATTTTATTAGATGCTGACTTGTATTTCTCAAAGAAAATTAAGATTTAAATTGAATCAAAATAATGTCTTGGAAAAGACTAAAGGTCCACAACTGGAAATTTCTGCAGTCCCAAACAATATACTTAAAAAACCAGCTAATTTTTAAAAAGCAGCTTTTGCAAAGGCAGTGCATTATCTAGAAGATAAATATATCATCAGGTCAGTACTCAATAATCGAAAAGACATGCTAGAGGGCAACGTACATACAAAAGTGAAGCAGAAGACAGTGTTGTATTCATTAGCCATGAACCATGGCCAAAGCTTGTCTAAAGAAAATCTCAGCAGGTGGATTAGTCCCTTACCAGAGAGATTTGCATAAATAGGGCAGCAAAAGAGAATTTGGGAAAAAAAAGATTGGAAATTTGGCTGCTCATGAGGGACAGCCCTTGCCAGCAAGAAATGAGTGAGTCATGCAACAGTAATAAGTGGGAGAATTAGGCAATATTTGTGAGGCCACTTACTAGGCAATCGTGCCTGGGCCTGTGAGGTCAGCACCAGCCTCTGATGCGGCACATTGGTTGTCGGGGCGGTGTGAGCAGAGGAGGCCTGTTGCTGGGCCTGACCCGTGTGCGAGGCCTGGGAAGCGGCCTGTCCCTGCTGGGTGACCAGGCCTGCAGTGCTGCTCAGGGCTGGACTGGCTGTGCTAGAGGTGATGGTGCTGTTCACCGCTTGCTGCTGTCCCGGTGCATTGGCAGTAGTCTGATTCATCTGAAATGGAGTCGCTGCTGCAAATGACAAGTGGTTGGTTTGTGCTGGCCAACATACGACAGATTTTCATCAAAATTATATTCACATTTCATTCTTTGCAACTCACCACTCCTCCAAAAAAACACTTAGGATGATAGTGATTAAAGTCAAAGACATACTCACCTAATTACTAAAGTTAACTACCTTTTCCTTCCAACATAATGTGTGCAACTTAAGACTTCTGTTTCTCAATTATATAAAAAAAAGTATACGCAACTATAGCAATATGTAGTTTCGACTCTGGCTGAAGCATTCTTATCAGAGTCTGAAGGCTGTGGGTTCAAATTCACAATGGTGGCTTGAGCATGTAATCCAGACTGACAATCACAGTACAGTACTGAGCGAATGCTGCACTGTCAGACATACCATCTTTCAGACAAGAGGTTAGACTGAGTCAGAGTCAGGACACTGTTATGAAGAGAAGAAACAGAGCTCTCCCCGGTGTCCTGGCCCATATTTTATTCTTCAGTGATAAAGGTTAAGTCACCATAGTCCTACCAGGCCATAAGGGTGCTCTCTCATTAGAGAAAGATGACTATTTTTTCTTATTTCCTCATTCAATACCCATAGCAAATAGGTAATTTAATGTTTCTGTTGTATGCAAAACTTGTTTTCTCAAATTTGCTTAGTGCCTTGACCTTACAATAGCGACTAAACTTCAAAAAGTTCACTGGTTGTAAACTGCTTTGAATGCCAGAGATCATTTTAAAAATGCAAATCATTTGTTTTTTTAATTGCTGCATTAGATGCATTTGGACAATAGCCAGCTCAACAAATAAGAACAAAAAAGTTTCACATAGCCTTGCAAGTGTCTGAGATACAACCAGAACTAGGCTGCAAACCCGTTTAACCACTTTCATAGGTCCTAATGCACTTTGAATTGGTTACAAGAGATCAGACAGCTCAAACCTTCCCTGAATCCAAACAAGTGAAAGCAAACATGTCACATATGTTAATCACACTATAAGAAAATTGAGAAAGAGTTCTGAAGGATGAACAGCCTGTGCAGTGCATTGATGTATCTCACGACAGCCTTGTTGATCCTCCAGCTTCAGGATAAGCAGTCAGCTATTTAGGACTGAGATGTTAGAAGTTTCTTCAGCTGGTGACTGTCAATCTTTGTAATTCTATGCCAGAAAACTGGATGCTCAGTATTTAAGTATATCCAAGACAGTAACCAGAAATCTATCAATTTCTAAGGGAATCTAGGCATACTGGGATAAATGAATTTAGGATAGAAGATCAGTCAGATCCTTGTTCAAATGACAGGACGAGCAGGCTGGGAGATACAAAAGGTCTACTCCTGTTCCTTTTTCATTGTCTGCAGAAACCTGAAGTTGCTGCCATAGACATATTCCTGATGGCAGCCAGAAAATTGATGGCAACAAAGATAGTATAGGCTCAGTAAAAAAAGCCATCCAGAATCACACTTGCACAAGCAGTGAAACACTACTGTGATTGAAGTACCTGACTTGCTACCTCCAATCACTTCACCCAGTTACATAACCCTTCCCCCACTACTATAACCCTTTTTTAAATTTTATACTAATAAAGAAAATGTTAAGAAAATAAAATGTTTTTCCCATTATTTGTCATACAGGGCCAGTTAGCACAGTTGGCTGGATGGCTAGTGAGTGATTAGGTCCAATGCCATCAGCGGGGGTTTGACTTCTGTTGTAGCCGAGGTAGCCTTGGGGCCAGTGCCCTCGGACTGTCCCTGTGAGTGGAAGGCAACGGTAGACCTCCACTGACAAAAATTGCCATAAAATATCGTCTAAGGGTTCAAATGAGCCAATGACCGAAGGACCTGCCTTCACCCATGAATGAATGATATTTTCTCAAGGCACTCATGTCAAATGGCATTCCCAAATGAAATCTTCAAGATCTGCCAAGTCAATGGCCTTTATTACTCAAAGTAGGGATTATAAAAACTTGATTTGTGTTTCTTGTAATTTAAGAGGATAAGGAATGATTCGATCAAAGTTTCCAAGCTTACAGGGGAAAATGTGGGAGATTGGGGGAAAGAGTTGGGGAAACCAGGATTAGGGACCATTGGAAATAGGAACAGGAATAGACCTTTCACCTCTCAAACCTGCTCTGTCACTGAACATCATAACGGCTGATCTAACTCCACACATTTTTCATCTCCATAATCCCTTGATATCTTTAAAGTCCAGTAACAATTGGTCACAGTCTTGAATGTACTCAATGACCAAGCTTCCTCCCAAAAGGTAGAAAGTTCCTAAGATTTGACTCCCATGAATGAAAAAAATCCTCATCTCAGTTCTAGATGGTAAAAACCCTATTCTAAGACTGCATCCCCAGTTTTAAAATGCCAAACCAAGGGAAACATCCTGCATCTACCATGTTGAGCCCAGTAAAAATTTTGTATGTTTCAATCTGATCACTTCTCATTCTTCTAAATAGTCTAAAAAATGCCAAAACTTTTAGAAAACATTTCTTCAAGGAAATGCTGCTAGAAGTTTGGAACTCCATTCCTCAAATGATAATAATGTTAGATCAATAACTAATTTTAAAACAGAGACCAATCAGGTTTTTATTAACCAGGATACTAAGGGAGATTAGGCAAAAGGTGGTGTGTGGAGTTGGATCAGCCAGGTCAACTGTGATCTGACTAAGTCAGAAGTCACGACAGCACATTACAATCCAACAGGTTTATTTGAAACCACAAGCCCTTGGAGCGCTTTTCCTTTATCCACTCCAGACCAACACCAGCACCTTCACATCTTGATCTGATTATATGGTGTGTCCTCGCTTAGCGAGATGCAGTCACAATTGAGATTAATATCAGATGAACAAACTTTGAAAAATCAGGATCTCCAGCTCCCTCTCTTTGACATAATATTAAAACATTTCCACAAAATGCCAGATTGATACCTGAACTGAGTTCAGCGTCTTATGAGAAAAGGTTGGACAGGCTGGGTTCGTTTCCACTGGAGTTGAAAAGAATGAAGGATGACTTAAAGTTTGTACAAACCTGAACAGTCTTGACAAGGTGGATGTGGAAAGAATGTTCCCTACTGTGGATGAAGCCAGAACAAGAGGGTGCTGCCCTAAAATTAGGGGTCAGCCTTTTAACACAGAAATATAGGAGAATTATTTTTTCCTCTCGGAGGGTCGAGACACTTTGGAACTCACTGCCTCAGAAGTTGGTGGGCAGCAAGTACTTTGGGTATTTTTAATACTTGTTAAATTGAGAATAAAATGTTGTTTGAGATGGATGAGAATGTAGAATTCAAAACAAAAGCAGATCAGCCTTGGTCTTGCTGAAGCAGACTGAAAGGGCTGAATGACCTACTTCTGCATTTGGTAAAATCTGCCACAGCAAATGTATTCTTCCCTTCCTTAAACATAAATAATGTTATAAAAATAATTTTAAAACATCAATGAGAATAACACCTGCAAACCTAAGAAATATCTGAGGAAACAAAAGAGAAACAACATTTTCACGAGAGGATTTCTAAGTTAGTTTACAAGCTTTGCTTAAGCCAAAACACATGCTGTTATTAATGTGGACAGCATTATGCAGAACTTCTATGAAGTATTTGAGTATTCATTGCTATGCTTAATAACCTCTTTAAGCTCAAGTAAAACTGTTCAATCACTAGTTGAGGATGGGTTCTGCTTCCCCAAATTAGAATAAGTGTCGAACATTTCATGACCAGCTACATATACCAGTGTAAAGTGAAAAGGACCCTATAGCACTCAAAACATTCCATTTATGGAGGATAGTTTTCCCATCAGCACAGGGGACCGATACATCTTCCTGGCAAAAAAAAAAAGAGTGGAGGGAGGAAAGGGAAACAGGCTAAAGACTGAGGAGAGTACTGCTCATTTGGACAACACAAACGTGTATTAGGCCCATCGGTCTCTTTCTGTGCAGTTTGACGTGATCTTTACCTTTATGATTTGAGAAGATAAGCCCAATGCTGAATTGCCGGGAAATAGCATCTTTTTGTTTAATCAAGGCTGAGTGACACAATAAAATAACACATCATTTTCAGAAAAAGAAAGGGCAGAAAAAAATCTCCCAACAGGTACTTTCTGAATTCAAAATATCTATTTATGTTTTTAAAAAAAAACTTATGACACTATGTGCTACATTACAATTGCAAGGATTTTATAGGGAAATAAACGTCCTAATGCACCAAGTTTCAATGAAGAACAGATTTACCAGGGAAGAATGTCGCATTAACAATTCATCCTTTAATGATACACATTGGATTTAGTCTTTACAAGCAAAAGATCATTTGATGGTTTAATAAACACTTTAATATTTGCTGATCAACAAATGTGAATCAATCAGGACAAATGTTTAAGACCAATTTATCCTTCACCCTGGTCAAATCCAGTTTTCCCTCATCTTTTTGTCAAAGTTACCGTCGAAGATTTCAAGTACAAATTGGAAGGAAGAGTGTTGTATCATCAATGAAACTGCAGCTAGTCATGAAACTCCATTATTGACTTATAAACCTTGCTCAACCTCTTTCATTAGAAGGAATGAAGCCGTTTCTTACCCTGGGCAGAAGTCATAACCTGAGAAGCAGGCACCGCAACAGCTGAAGACTTGCCACGTGCTTGCCCTTGATGGGATGCAGCTGAAGTTGTGCTGGGTGCCCGCTGAGGCTGAGTACCAACGACCACAACTGTCCGGTCATCTGGCTTTTGGCCATACTGTACAGGCTGGAACAACCTTGACATTTTTTTGAAGAACAAAAATCATAAATACTAGGTTCATGCTTACTTTGGGAATTGAATTTATTAACTCTGCTTGAAGGCAAAGTATCACAGTGCATTACAAAAATTATCATTTAGCACCATAAAAGATCATGCTGTCTCTTAATCTTATTTCAAAGACTACAGTCTGCAATCCATGTCTCTCACACTGTTCGGCACTGGAGGAATGTTGCACTATCAAAGGTGCTGGTTTTTTGATGTGATGTTAAGCTGTGGCCCAGCCTGCTGTCTCAGGTGGGCTTATGTTAAAAAAAAATTATTTCATTGGTTAGAATTAGCAGTGGCAAGGCTAATATTTGTTGCATATTCCAAATTAGCCTTGATAAGACGGTCATGAGCATAGTGCTTCTATGGCACTATGCGAACAGCAGGGAAACACTCCACCTGCATCTGGGATAACATTTAGCCCTCAGCCAACATCACTAAGAGCTGATTGCTGTTATGGGTCCTTGCTGTGTGCAAGTTGGCTGCCACACTTCCTGTAAATAGTGAGTACAAAAAGTACTTCAATGTTGTAAAGCAATATAAGAAATACCCTTATTTCAGTGTCGATTCAAAAAATTTGCACTTTTCAATAGAACACAGAAGGTAAATACAAAAATAATTAAAAGTGAATTGCTGTTCGTCTTTTTCTGAAGAATATAAAGAGATTGAAATTATGTTACAGCTGTAAAGACTTCCGGTCAGACTGCATCTGGGAGTACTGAATTCTACTACGGTCATCATACGCAGGAAGGACACAGTAGTCTTGGAAGGGAGAGCATGCAGATTCACCAGATAACACCAGGGCCTAAAAAGTTAAATTACAAGGACTGCACATACTATGCGCATATTCTCTCAGGTATAGACAGTAATAGTTTGACCTAATCAAGGCACTTAAGATAATTAAAAGGATTTGATAGGGTAGGTAAAGGGACCCTATTTCTTCTGTTGGGGCAGGAGGAAGAACCTTAAAAGTAGAGCTAGGTGATTCAGGAAGGACTTCTTCATACAAAGAGCAGAGGAAATCTGGAACTCTGTTTCCCACAGATATGTCAAGGTCCGGGTGGGTTAATTAAAGTTTCTCCAGCAATTTCTGTTTTTGTTTGTTTCAGATCTCCAGCATCTGAAGTTATCTCAAATCTCAAAACTGAGTGACAAATGTTTGTTGGTAAGGGCATCAAGAGACATGGAGCAAAGCTAGGCGTTTTGTTTCATTTTTATTTAAAGACTTGTTTTTGTGGGATTAGTACTGAGGAGTGCGGAAGCTTGTTTGTTTACATTAATTTTTCACAACGTCTTGCAACCCTGGCAGTGAAGAATGGATTTAGTGCATTAAAAGTTACTAAATTACTACCTGAATGGCTGTAAATTGGGAGAGGGGCGTGTGCAGCGGGACCTGGGTGTCCTTGTGCACCAGTCGCTGAAGGTAAGCATGCAGGTGCAGCAGGCGTTAAAGAAGGTAAATGGTATGTTGGCCTTCATTGCGAGGAGTTGCGAGTACAGGAGCAGGGATGTGTTGTGGCCTTGGTAAGACCACACCTGGAATACTGTGTGCAATTTTAGTCTCCTTTTCTGAGGAAGGATGCTCTTGTTCTCAAGGGAGTGCAGCAAAGGTTTACCAGGCTGATTCCAGAGATGGCGGGTCCGACGCATGAGGAGAGATTGACTAGGTTGGGATTGTTTTTGCTTCAGTTCAGACTAATGAAGGGGGATCTCAGAGACTTATAAAATTCTAACAGGACTGGACAGGGTAGATGCAGGGAGGATGTTCCCATTGGTGGGTGTGTTCAGACCAGGGGTCACAGTTTGAGGATTTGGGGTAGATGATTTAGAATGGAGATTAGAAGACATTTCTTCACCCAAATAGTGGTGAGCCTGTACAATTCGTTACCACAGGAAGCAGTCGATGCCAAAACATTGAATGTATTCAAGAGGCACCTAGATAGAGCATTTTGGGGCGAATGAGATCAAAAGTTATGGGGAGAAAGCAGGATTAGGCTACCGAGTTGGACGATCAGCCATGATCGTGAAGAATGGTGGAGCAGGCTTGAAGGGCTGAATGGCCTCCTCCTGCTCCTATCTTCTATGTTTCTATGTTAAAAAAACTATGCTTAGTCAATTGACATGGGGTCCAAGGGCAAACAAAGACACAGAAAAAGCCAGAAGTTAGTCAGTGAGTGGATGTACCAGAGAAAGACAGCTGGGGCCCAAAATTAGGGAACTCATGCTTGTTCTGAAGTTAAAGTAACAGTGAATTATTGTTTTTAAAAAAATACAGCACAGAAGGGGACCATTCAGCCCATCTTGTCCATGCCGACCCAAAGACACCCAGGTGCTCTTTCTAACCCCATCTTCTTGCACACAGCCCATAGTTTGCGGATTATTCTAGGTGAATCGGAGGTAACTGCTGAAGGAAAATGGAATGTTCCAAATTCCACCACAAGGAATTTGATTATAGCTGTGCCAACCAGAGCAAGAGACCATAGTGTGGTGAAAGTGCTAACTCTAGAAACAACAAAACTGCAGTGAAAGGATATCGCTGGGATAAAATGCAAATAATGTAAATTTGAGTCCTTTTTCAGATGTTTGTAATTAATTCTTTCCAACCTTTTGATTTAGAGCAATGCAATTAACACTTTTTTCTTGCTTATTGCTGACAAAAGGCACATTTTGCCAAAGCTTTTAAACTTGCACTTATCAAAACATTTCAGAAGGGCATGAGAGAAGACTGCTGATTGGTTGGCAGGTGACAACATGTTCTTTGAAGACAGAATGAACGCGTATACACATTGCACCTCTTTCAACTCAACAAAATAATGTCTGTCATTCACTGAATTTACTGGGCTACAGAGATAAAGCTGGAGAATGGGTCTTACTGGGTAGTTCTTTCAGGAGCCATTACAGACATGATGGGTCAAACTGCCTCCTTCTGTACGGTAAAATTCTATGATTCTATGCTCATTCCTCAGGGCAATGCCTAGATCGATCAGAGTCAACCTGCCCGGCTTAACATTTAAAATAAAAAGCCTAGCAGTTAACTGTCAATCAGCATTAATGGGTGCATTTTCCAACATCACATTCTTTCAACAATCTTGGTCTATTTGCCAAGTCACACTCATTCTCCTCTCTTACAATATAACTGTTGGCTTTCCCCACAAATTTGTATTCTTGCGAAGCATCCTGATTGTGCAAGACCAAAATAGGTCTTTTTCCAGCAATTACTCAAGTTCTGTACCACCAAACGACTATTTCCTTGTTCAGTAAACATTCTATTATCTGTGTTTAAAAAATACACTGGCAGATAACTCTGTGAACATGCTCAGTTACAGACCTCCATGGTTAAAATAGAAGTTAGGGTCTACTAAGCCGTATTTAACTCTGAGATCTGACTTTTCCAATAGTAACACCAGCTGGGATCATAACATAGGTAAATAGATTAAAAAGGTACAAATCAGCAATGATCTAACTAAATGATAGAACAGGTCTGTGCAGTTCAATGGCCACTCTTGTCCCTATAATAGTTAGCAGCTGAGCTAACCTATTAGTGTCAGTTTGCCAAGGTAAAAGCACCGAGAATAAGAGATGTGGAGGATTCTGGATTCACTCAATAAAAGCTACACTATCTATCTATGCCAAAACAGAAATATGTTGCACAAGTTACTTTCTATTTTTTTAAAAAATAGTGCCAGTGGTGATATTAATATATATTAACTTGACACATTTAATATTCAGAGCAAATACACCATGACATTTTTGACACTATTTTGAGTTTTCAAGAGGTTCAGCAAGAACCGCTCAGATCAAAAGATGGATACAGTGGAGATGAACATTTGGCCCATTAATTTCCAAGCTCCCTTCCTCACCCATCATGCTCCTTGGAAAAGGACATGATTTTTACTTCCACCATTCCACTAATACAAAGTGCTAAGCTTGCCTTTGTGAAAACTTTTTTTGCAAACAAGATTTGAGTTCTAATGCTCAGTTTTAGGAGTAATTGCATTAACAATAAATGACGCATATGTGACTAAATTATCTGAATGGAGGGTGTAGGTTTAAGAAAACCAATGATTATAACCACTGCCTCTCCCACAAGGTAGGGGCATACTACTACTAGTGAGGTTAGCTAGGGCTTTGTATCATTGAATCATGACTTCTACACCTTTAATTCCAGACATCTAGATACAAGGACAAGATATAAAAAGATGCAGCCACCTACTTGCTGACTTTCACTTTAACTGGTCTGGGTCTGGGTGGAAGATCTGGCGAGTAGTAGATTTCCTCAATGAGTTTCCTCGTCACCTTCCGTTTGGGCATGACCATCTCGGCCTCATATCGAGAAAGTTTGTTTTCGATTCCAGCTAGATTGAAGGCAGACAAGTCCACATTCTGAAAAAAAACCAAAAAGCAGACAATTAGTTATTGTGGAGTAGCTACCAATAGTCAAGGGAAAAAGCGAAAGCAAAATCAGTTTATAACACTTACCTTCCAAGGGTCATATTCAAGCACTTTCAACACAACAGACGCAACTGTATATTGCAGAGCTCTGAACACATAGGCCGAACAGACAGACCTGGGGCACTTCAGGTTAGGATGATTACATATCCTTCTCAGTTGCATCAGGAGGTTAAGAACACTAACAAAATGACGAGATCTCAGAGCTTCCAATGTGCTATTGGTTAGACAAGAAATGAGCATCAGAAACTAGCAATTCAAAACATAAATTCAATTCATTCCTCAATCAGCATCGTTACCTCTGTCTATCTCAAATCTTGCAACTATGCATATGTGCTTGACACAACAACCATCATAAACAGTTGTTTGATACAAAATCATCTTAAGGAATAACCAGATACAGACCAGTCGTAAATTAGTGATTTATTGACCTCAGTCACAAATATGTGCATTTCTGAATGGAGCACTTTGGCAGGTAAGCATCACATCTGTATCCTTGACATCCCATGGGCATCACTTGACGTACATGCTAGAGAATTGTACAACTGAATGTAAGCAGGAATTCTGTAGGACACTTTCAAAGCACCTGTTGCCACCTTATGCCTTTATTACTGATTTCTGCGACTTAAATGAAGCAGGTACTTTCATATTCATACAAACAGTGCAAATTCAAGTTTCAAAGTGTTAGAATATGAAGGACATTGTTGTTAAATGGATAATATGCTTTATATAAAACATCATGCAATGAAATCTCACTAAGTTAGTGATATGATGCACATTACATTGGAGCTTCAAAATGACTCAGCAAATGATAAACACAAAACCTTGCTGAAGACTTTAAACCCTGCTAAATGGGGATAAACTGTAGGGAAACTTCACTGATTTACATTTCCAGATTTATCAAATGTACACATTTAGGACTGTTACCAGTTATAAAATATTTCAAAGCAGTTAAAATATCTATAACACCATAACGTATCTGATTTTCGGCCTGTTCACGAATGCAATGTTGAACAGAGCGTTACAACCAGTCAGAGATACCTCCACGAGGAGTATGTACAACAGTAAAACATTTAGTTTCTCAACCACAACAGTTCAGAAGTCCAAATCAAACATGAAAGATGTTAAATTGAGCACGTAGCCACATTTTCAGATACAACATTGTAAACATTTGTACCCAACACACTCCAAATACAGGGCCCTGATAGCACCCAAGTAACCCATTCAAGTTCTAGCATAAGTTCTAAAACATATTTGTACATCATTACACTGAACTTTGACACTACACTTGAGAAACTAGTATATGAATAAGAATTTGGACAGGACTAGTCCAATTTTGCTTCCAGCCACAAGCATATATTTGTCAGAAAATAACATTTCTTAGTACCTTCTGAAAGACGATAAACCTCCTAAGAAAAAAACTGGTAGAGAACTCTCCACTATCACTGAAAGGGACTTGGGGCTGCATTTGGCGTAGGGTCTTGTGAAGGTTGAGCATCGAGTACACTGTTGCCATTACTCCCAACACCCTGACTTTACACAGTAAACATATTCTGGTTTGTTCTACC